ACAGTATTTTTGGCGGCCAGGCAATCAATATGCTGTTGCTGATCGATATAAAAATTCAAAGTAAAATATATATTTGTGAGATCTTATAATTAATAACACAGACACAACACAAATCACAACAAATCAACACAACACATTATTAAATGTCACGTCAGTTGTGAGAACAACTTAACTAATATCCTTCAAAATTTGGCATCCTGGGCGCTAACTGTCTCTGTTGCCTACGCCTGAAGCTGGCCCTAAATATATGACGATGAAACTTTTAAGAAAACATTAATGAAGACATTTGAAATAAACATTTGAAACTGGTTATTTGAAACTGGCATGCAGAAGGATCTCCAAATGTAAGTGCTTTTAGAATCAGTTTTTAAGTTGATCCTTGACTTATCATTGGAGAGCATGCCAGGTTGTATGTTTCAAATTCTATGGTCTCTGCACCAAATCAGGTGGGCCTTGTTTACCGGTCTTTTTTACTTTACTTACGAAACGTGGAGGAAGGTTATTTCCTAAATTTTCTATTAAAATTCCTCAGATTATTCAAATTCTTATCAAATCGAGTTTTCTCAAATCTTCCACAAATAGGGATATCTCATGAAGTAATCAAGTGTCAAAAGACTTATGTGAAGGCGAATAGAATCAAAGCAGAAACTTTCTTTGTTATTGTAAATGAAAACTATATAATTGGCTCTTATTTCTTAAACTCAATGACATCTTTTCGCAGCTGCAACTATAACAGTAAATTTGAAATATATGTTTTTGGAATCTACTCAAATTTATAAATAAAGTTGTACTGAAAGTAGTATATTATTTAAAATTTTGTTACTTGAGGATCACGTGAAGGCGCAAAATTATTTCAATGAAATCAGCTTTTATTAAATAAAAAAAAACAATAAAATGTCTACAGAAAACGGGATTATCTACATCGAAAACATTTACTTACTTTTTTTCACGAGTATTACTGCTGACCACAAAACAATTATTGCTGCTAATATCAAAGCAAACCAAGTAAGCAAATAGACTAGCTGCATCTCCGTGCAATTCTTCTTCTGTATGAATCCATTTGATACTGCGGATAGTTTTTCGTATATCTAGTGCTTTATCCTACCATTGCTAATATACTCGGTATGAAATCTGTATTCTTTGCAAGCAAGAAAATACTATTTAAATCGATTCAAAGCCAGGGGAAAAGCAATTTTCAATGTGCCAATTACCTGACATAAATCTTTATTTAGAAGTCAACTTCTAAAACGTTCTGTGAAATAATCAACTCAATCAAGTAATCTTGGAGTAATAATAATAAAAAAGCGAAATTAGGAAAAATAGGTTTAAATTAATCTTTAAAAATTTCTGTTGGATTCTAAACTTCATACAGCGAAAATAAGGCTTTAGGGACAGCTTCACTGTAAAGGGCTGGACCTTTCTTCTATGAATAAATCAGTGACTGATTAACTAAATAAATGTCAGAACTCACTTCTAAAATGATAAAATTTCTCATTAAAACTTTACAATGTATCTTACAAAGAAATTTAATCGAAAATTCATAGTGTCCTATAGAGCAGACCACGAGTTCAAAAAGATTGCTTCGCATGTTTATGGAGTTAAGGTCAGTGGCTCCTTTTTCGAGGAAGTCCTTCTTGTTACTTATTTTATTTTGCCCACTTTTTCATATTCTTAATGATCTGGTTTTGACAACAAGTACTTCTATTGCACGTTATCTGCAATTTTAAAACTTACAAAAGGTTACTTTGAAATTAAAATTGTGTTAAAATTTCTTTAATAAACATGAAGCTGCAACAGTCTGTTTTTACATCCATTACCTAGAATTTCGCATTGCTGAAACTGGAGTTTGCATCTTTGTGTGAACCGGTGACCTTGGAAGCACAGCCACAATGTTACATCAGAGTAACAACTATGCGTAAAAAAAAAGGGCACCACCTCGACTAAGTGTCAAGGAATGGCTGACGGAGATTAATTAACGGTCTTCCGGAACACAGCCAGCCCTGTTCTAGCTCCTGAACCGGCACAAGAAAGATTCTGTTGGGAAAAGAACAAACTTACTCAGTTTCTGTGACTGGAATGCGTAGAAAGTCTTGGCAGTTGGCACATCTGCCCGTATCATCTAACTATTTCCAAGCGTCTTTAAATAAAAACATTATTCTGCAAGAAATGCAGGGTAATTACCTCACAGTTTCAGAGAACCTATTTGAAAAATTCTAAAACTTAAGCACAAAGCAGTTCTAGAATATTCAAAAGAGTTCTAGAATATTCAAAAGATTACATTGTTTTATGAGGCTGGAAGAATTATTTCAGATTGTGTTAGGCTGGATAAGATTGCCAAGACATTTATAAAAAGATTACTCGAAAAGTATTCTAATTACTTGGGCTTAAGCATTCAAGTGCGTTTAGTCCCAGGTTGCCAAGTTTCTGCTCTGTTATGCTCGGAATTTCTCAAACCTCTTATAAGCTTACGCGCAAACTGATTCTGTGTTCTGAAATGATAATGACTAAGGCTTGGAGGAAAAAAAGTCAAAATTAACTGCTAGTTTGGAAGGGAATTTTAAATCTGCAGAAAAAAAGATGCTCAGAATTATTTGGGATTCTTATACAGCAATTTGTACACAGGATAAAAATTTTTACAAGCGTTTCAAGGTAGAAATAATCTGTACAAATATGTTTCAATAACATCAAATATTCTTCCATAGTAGCCATTATATTATTCCTTACTTATAGTAAGGAATATGGACAAGGAATATATAGTAAGAAAATGAATATATAGGAATAAGGAATATATAGTAATACAATAAGAAATAATAATAATAATAAGGAGTAATAAGTAATATATAGTAATATAATAAGGAATAATAGTAACGAATAATAATAATAAGCAGTAATAAGGAATATGGATGGGAAAGGTAAGGGCAAAATTTTCCATAAATGTGTAAGGTTTCGGCAATAAGGTTGGAAGAGAGAATACTTTGTTACAAGTAACCAGAGCTTGCTTAGGCTAAAAAAAAAAAAAAAAAAAAAAAAAAAAAAAAAAAAAAGTTTCAGTTTTTTATATTACCCCCAAAGGGGCATTTTTTAACGTATTGTGCGTTACTTTTATTTAGTAAATATCATATTCTTGGCCTAAACCATAAAACTGAATTCAACAGCAATATCACAAAATAATTTAAAAAGAGCATACCTTTAGAATTTCCGGTACGCAGTATCGCGCGCTGGACATATTTTTTTTTTCCGTACAGTGTTGCCGTTGCTCGCTTTGAAATTGTTGAGTTTCCTAATCAAAAACTCATAAATGTTTTACAAAATATGAAATAGGTAATAAAACAAATTCCAAATTTGGGCTTCCCGATGCCTATATTCGGATGGAGACATATGTTATTCAAAATTTGATGGCTCTAGGTACCGTTGCTTAATCACATGCGAGAAACATGCATACGTGTATGCACATTCTTCATTATTTAATTTCTTTCAATATAATACAGGGAGATAATATTTGGTGGCAACAATTTGAAAAGTTAAACGCCGTTATAGTGAAATGGTATAGTGAAAATGCCAAAACGAAATTAATAGCCTTTATGAGCCAACGCCCTTTGGGGTAAAAAAATTATTGCTTTCTCTAAGGAAACACTAACATAGCTCTTTTTCCTTTCACATCTGACTTCTTGCCAAGGACAAAAAATATTACTATAGCATGTGTGGAGATTTTCATAGTACATTTCGTTTTCTTTTATGTGATACGTTTCCCACCGATGATAAATGGAATTAACGCTGCCTTCATGAAGAAAGAAAATCGATCTTTAAAAGATTAATTATTCGATCTTAATCGTCTAACTACTTTATTACAATGTGTATCTTTAATCTTTTCAAGACCGCAATGCAGATTATAAAATCCTTTTAACCAAGGAGCTGAAGACAACGATCGCATCTAATTTCATCCCCACTTGATGGATTTGTTTTTCTTTCAGCTTCCCAACTGTTCATGATTCTGCGCTGCTTAACGAGTTAATGGATGTTTTGTGGATCATAAGGTTCCAAAACAATGTGTGTTCAGTTCTCGTTATAAGCTTGATGGATCTCTTTTGTTCACGATGTTCCAGAAAATCTGCGCTAATAAGAGATCTGAATTAATGTTTCGACAACTGACATTTGTATGTCTCAGTGAGGAAAAGTCTTTGTGAGGTAATTTGGAAGATCCGAGAGCCAAGATTTATTGAGTGAAACAATAACGAACACTATTATCACTCCACGGAGCGTAACGAATTATCACTCCATGGGGCTTTGAAAACAGCGTATTATCACTCAATAGGACTTTGAAAACAACGTATTATCACTCCACTGAGCGTGACGTATTATCACTCCATGGGGCTTTGAAAACAATTTATTATCACCTCACAGGGCTTACGATCTTTAATTTATCATCAAAACTGTAATAGCACATTACTCAGTCGAGGAAAAGAAAAAAAGTAAATAATAAATACCTTAGTATAAAATAGAATTATAATAATAATAATCCTATTTTATATTATGAAAATGATTTTAATGTGAAATGAAAATAGTTTTAAATAATAAATATTGTTAGATGAACTTTGTTTTATAAATGAAATATTATATATTTCATATCTAAAATACAAAATTTATATAATATTTATTCTTGTGATATGAAGTATTATATTCTTCATTTCTTATAATATGAAAATATAATATTTTCATAAATTTTCGATGGTAAAAAGTTTGTTTTTATAAAAGTTACTACTTTAATTCCTTTTTTTTTCCCCAAAATGCAGTTTTTGAAGGCATTAAAAAATTAATCCGGCTGTACAGCATTTTTGCAAAACAAAACTATACGCATGAATTTTTTTTTAGTTTTACATGTAAAATAGTTTAATCACCAAAATGAAGCATCGGTTCTTTTGTACTTGCAAAATTGCCAAATGTCTGTCTGTGTCTTTGCAGCAAAAGCATTAATAGAATTCCATATTTTTTTTAATCCTCAGTTAACAAAATAGAAAACAAGCGATAGAATACCTGTAAGTCTATTTGATGCTATTCTGAGAATCCGGGAAGATTTATTACTTTCAAGCAAGTACTGAAAGAAAATCATGTCTCAGGACTAACCACCCTGGTCGGTACGTTAGTTGATGGAGCTGGCTGACATATCATTGGGCTCTGTTTCAAATCCTGATAAAGGTATGGAAGTTATATGCTTTGTATTTATTTTTCTAATGTAATATTGATCTATATATTATTATGATACTCTAATGTAATCTTTTTCTAATGTAATATTGATCCTATTCTGTGGTGCACTCTGGGCTAAGTTTTCGGTGGTGAGAGCGATGGGTTAGGTTATACTCCGGATAACCCAAACTTCCGAAGTATCCTTAGTACCAAAGATCCTAATCCTGCAAGATCGAAGTTCGATATTATTCGACTTTTCTGGAGCACATTTTGTTGAAAATGATTTTGTCGTCTGGGTGTAGACTTTACGGAAAACCCTGGATACTTGGCTTAAAAATGTTTCTGGCATTAAAAATATTGTTACGAAATGTACAGGCGCGGTGAGATAGCTTCCCCGCAAAGCAGTTTTTGGGGTTGCCATAAAAATGGCAAGGGGAAAGTAGGGTTGCCACATTTGGCTAGAAATCGCCCATTTGGTGAAAAAATTGACGATATGCCATGGACGGATGGAGAACCTTCTGGAACGAATTCTTACCGGTTTAGCCCAGAAAGTTCTCGAATATCAGCCAAAAGCTATATAAACCCTGTTGGTACGCGGAGAGTTAGGTAATATCGAGTTGGTGTCTCGTCTAGCGAGTCAATCCCTGCTGAATCGATGGTGTTGACAGCCGGGCAGCGAGTGCCGAGTGGGTCGTCGAGCGCACTGAAAGAGTCTCGTAGTGCATCGTCGAGAGAGCGTGTTGAGCTCCGGGAACGACTGAACCAAAAAGTCGGGAGCTGTGCTCTGTGTGTCGTCAAGTGCGAGTTGTAGCGTGGAGTCTCGAGAGTACGTGGAGTTCTGAGAACGACCAAGCAGAGTAGGGAGCTGTACTCTGGAGCTTTGCCTTGAGGCTCTCTCCACTATGATATCCTGATAACCTGGAGGCTGTGTCGCTGATCGTGTCAGCATGTTTATAGTAGATCTTCGACGACCGTAAAAGTGTTTGGGAGTAGTCCTGATTATTATTGGTAAATAAGTGATAATAAAGTGTGTTTCGGTACCTCATCAAGTGTCGTCGTTATTCACTTTCACTCCAAATCTACGAACCCCGTACGAACGTGAAGGAAAAGAAAAACGTAACAATATATTTATCATAGAGTATCACCATCTTACAATATAAATCGGAGGGGTACAAGCCATTAAAAATTCTGAGACGATTTGCATATTCGATACTGCAATAGTTGCATTTATGCACAGAATGCCGACACAAGAAGATCGTGTGAGACTTGACCGTAAAAGTCCAAACGAGTTTTATTCTTTTGTTCTATGGCCTTGTAATTTCAAACATCAGGAAGGAGATGATGACTGATGCACATCGATTTACATCTCGGCACACGTGGAAAATTTGAACAAGTTTGGTCTTCATCACATATAACAGCAACAACATCAAGCCTGCGAGAAATTCGTGTGTAAGAACTCATGTACCATAGCAGCCCTTCTTTAATTAATTTACATAAGCTGATTTACAACTTATATAAATGCATACAACACTGCAGCATATATAAATACTAATTACACCCCAAGAGGGTAATATTTGCTTTTAATCGGTTTAATATACCTGCCTTAGTATATATAACTATTTGCTTCGATCTAAAAGTGGGTGCCTAACTTTCCTTAGAAATCTATACATGGAAGAGAAGTATGTTATGAAGCTGAGTTTTCTTTAAGACCAGCTCCATTTTATGGTTGACCTTTGCTTTAGTTAATGTTAGTTTAGTTGACCGTATTTAGATATTTAAAAATGCAACAACTTTAAAACTGAAAATTATCGGTGCAAAAAATTTTATAACATATGGTAATATGTAGTTTGTATACGTAATATGTAATTTATATGACGTGAAAGACACACGAAGAAGATGCTCTTCATGAGAATATTATGAACATGTTCTTCATGAGTATATTATTAAGTATATTATGAATATGTTCTTCATGAGTACGTTCTGAACAGCAAGGATGTGCCTTTGGAAGTAATTTAGGAGATGAATTGGATAACGTTTTTATACATTAGGAAACCAAAGGAAAATCGTACAGAACTAAAGTTTTTAATTTTTGTGTTGCAGAGACATTAGATATTTTTGAAACCGGAGACATGAACAATGAGCAACGCCTTCGCGGGCTTCAAACCACGCGTCGAGCGTGCTGACCACTACACCATGAAGGCATGTTAAGAAGGTGGGAGAAATAGCTTATAGTGTTTATCAGTGTAGATTTATTATTTATCTATTTATTTTTACGAAATCTGATTTCAATTCACATTAATTTTTTCAAAAGAAAAGAATGCAATCTGTATTATTTACAAAACTTTTAAGTTCATAAGACATTTAAGAATACGATTTTTTTATACAGGTTATCGATTTGCCTGTATGTGAAATGAAACTTTTAATTAAATTTCAGATCCTTTAATCGTTTTTTCTTAATCGGAAAATTCTCTGTTTCATGCTTCAAATATTTTAACAAGTAGCATATTCTGCGTTACTTCAAGAAAAATTTTAACACGTCGCTGTTAATTCTTTGGAAATCCACCCAGTAAAATTTAAATTTCTAATTGCAGTATAACTCTCCTTGACCCACTAACGCAAGTCATAGCAGCTGCAATAAGGCGTCAAACTTTCATTCAGTTCCACGTAAGCTGATCCAAAAAATATAATTCGTTAATTGACACTTTAAAGAGAAAAATTAAGAATCATTTAATTAATCTCCAACTTTTAAATCGTGCTTTATTGAACGGGATGTTTAGTTTTGGGTACCTGAGCGAAAACCCTAACACAGCGCAACTCGTTCCATTTTCGAACAAAAATGATAGCAATGTAGCTGAGAAATAGCAGTGTAGACAGACGTAGCCGTAGATTCACATGATTTTATTACTGAATTACACAATTTTTTAGACTCATAATCTGATTCACATATCAGTATGGGCGCAATATGCATCCCACAGCTATTACGATAATGGATGATAGACAGAAATCAGCCGCAATGCATTAGCAATAGCCCAACAAGCAAGAAAATTAACTATGCATTACAGAAGTGTAAGAGAATCAAAAGATTTTCGTTCTTTAATAGAAATCTAGTCTGTGATTGGATAAAAAGGTCTGCATTGCAGGGTTGATGCGGATTAATTTTGAAATGACGCAGTTTAGTCTCATGTGTTGTAAATAGTTACTATTTAAGACAGAAAGGGGAAGTACCCAAATTAAAATGAAAAATAAAGGGGCTATTGCAAAATTAAAGTTAGTAGTTTGTTTCCATATTTTTATATCTTATATATATAATTCTGCATCTAAAAATATAGTTTATTGATAAGCGTGTTTGGGAACTTCTTGAAATTATTGAAGTCGTTTTACATTTTACCTTCGTCATTGTTGTAAGAATTCGCGTTACTTATCAGTTAATTTATGTGTTGGTATGTACAACAGTTCCCGCCAAAGGTATAGTTGCATGCGTAAGGGTTCGTAATGAATTGAATGCACACAGAACCTGCGATAGCTTGATCAAATTTAGTTTTCCAAAAGAAACATTTTACAGTTTTGAAACTCCCCCCCCCGAAAAAAACTCGTTACGCTTTTCTCAGTATCACGCAGTACGATCAGTAGTTACCACTTCAAAGCACTAAGAACGTTAAACACAACGCAATGGAAAGCACATCTAAAGAGCGAAGCTCACACGGAGATCTTTCAATAATCCTAACTCTGATCAACTGGGAGTTCATGCTCTCTCAGGTCTTATACACACTGGTTATCATAAATTAAGGAAAAATCACAAAAATGGCGACAGCTCCCTCAAAAATAAGCTAAACCGTGTAAAATTTGAATATGTTGCCAAGTAAGACTAGCTGAGTAAAACTGCGGTATGCAAATCAGTGGCGCTGCTTTCGGAATACATCATCTGCGAGGAGCATAAAAGTCCATGTTTGAGAGCAAGCCCACATATTTCACTGTGACAGTGACATCAGAAATCTGAGATAGTCAATTCATAACAATGACCTCCAGGCATCATTTGCCTTCAAAACTGCGATGGAGAGCCATTGGGAGACTAGAGGCAGGACAAAGTCAAACCGAAGTGGCCAGATGGCTAAATGGGAGTCCTTCTGTGGTTCATAGACTTTGGAGGCAATTTGAAACCACAGATTCGGCCTCTAGGAGGTTCAGCCAAGGACGGCCAACTGCTACGACGGCCTTGCTGCAGCCACCGGAAGGTTCATGTCAACGTCAACTGTGCGTAGAAGGCTTCACGAAGGTGGTCTGTATGTGAGGCGACCAGCCATTTGTGTGCCGCTCACGTCACACCATAGGAAGGACCGTTTTCAGTGGCACGACAACATGTCCACTGGACGCCTGATCAATGGAGGGCGGTTCTCTTTACAGATGAGTCCAGGTTTAGTCTAGAAAGCGACAGTACACGTTATTTGATATGGAGAGAACCTAGAACCCGTTATCATCCGTCAAACATCCGTGAAAGAGATGCATACGGAAGGGGCAGTGTCTGTGTATAGGATGGCATCTCTTTGGGTGGACGCACAGACCTCCATGCCTTTCAACGGAAATCGTGAATGCTCCGGTTTATAGCGATGACATCCTTGATGCTTATATGCGCCCATGTGCCGGGGCAATAGGTGATGCTTTCCTTTTATAGGACGATAACGCAAGACCACACAGGGCTCGCATCGTAAATGATTATCTTCAACAGAAAACAATTATGCGCATGGAGTGGCCAGCTCGATCCCCGGACTTGAATCCCATCGAGCACGTTTGGTATGCTTTAGAGAGATGACTAACTGCTCTCAATCCGCCCCCTTAGACCCTTGCCGCGCTTGCAACTGCTTTGCAAGAGCAATGGCTCTCGCTTCCTATGGAACTGATAGACCGCATAATTGAAAGCATCACACATCGCTGTATTTGCTGTATTGCTTTTAGAGGCGATCATATTCCAGATTCAAGGTACTTTTCCTATAGCAAACTGACACCTTCGATTTGTT